TTAAGGCATGAAACCATAAGAATACTAGATAAAAATATTAGGAAAACTATCCTAAATAGCAGCCTAGGCAAAGAATTTATAAAGACCCCAATGGCAATCACAGCAACATCAAAAATGAATGAGGCCTGATTAAATTAAAAATCTTTTGCACATCCAAGGAAATAATCAACAGAGCAAATAGACAACCTACATAGTGGGAGAAAATATTCACAAGCTATACATCCAATAAAGGGTTAATGACCAGAATCTACAAAGAACTCAAGGAAATCAGCAGGAAAAAAAAACAACCCCATCAAAAAGTGGACAAAAGACATGAAGAGAAGCTTTTCAAAAGAAGATAGACAATGGCCAGTAAATGTACCAAAAAATAGTCAACATCACTATTCATCAGGACAATACAAATTAAAATCATAATGAGAGATCACCTTATTCCTGGTAGAATGACTTTTATTAAAAAGTTCAAAAATAATACAGGCTGGTATGGATGCAGAGAGAAAAGAACACTTCTACACTGTTGGTGGGGCTGCAAATTATTAATAGTACAACCTCTATGGAGAACAGTATAGAGATACCTCAAAGAACTAAAGGTAGACCTACCATTTGATCCAGCGATCCCACTACTGGGTATTTACCCAAATAAAAAGAAGTCATTTTATCAAAAAGACACCTGCACTTGAATATTTATTGCAGCACAATTCACAATTGCAAAGATAAGGAATCAACCCAAGCACCCATCAATTCATGAGTGGACTAACGTAATGTGGTATATGTATACCATGGAACACTATTCCGCCATGAAGAAGGATGACTTAATGCCTTTTGCAACAATTTGGATGGAACTGGAGATCATTATCCTAAATGAAGTATCTAAAGAATGGAAGAACAAACACGCTGTGTACTCACTATTAAATTGGAACTCAACCAATGAGCACATTTGTGCATAGAGGGAAGTAAAACTCAATGGAAATCAAGCACATGGTAGTAGGGAGAAAGGGTTTGGCTGAAAACCTATCTAACAGGTATAATGAACACTATCTGGGTGACAGGCATACCTATAACCATTATTCAAACCTTATAAAAGTGATCCATGTAATCAAAAATATTTGTACCTTTTTTATTTTTTGAAATTAAAAAGAAAGGAAAAGAAAACAACAGACTTGTTTTCTCTGTGGTCTGCTCTAGTTTCTACTTCAGAAAATTCCTTATTTATTTATCTGGCTGACAGAATTTTAATTCTTATGTACATTGAAGGCCATATGATTTCTAACACCAGAGCTTTTTGAATCCCTGAATTTGTATTACTTCCTTCCTATGTGGATCTCTCAATCTCTCCAGATCTCTCTTCTCTCTCCCTCTCCCTCTCTCTCCCCCCCTCTGCCCCGCATTTCCCACTCCCCCACACACACCCTATTGCTCAAATTCCAGAACTAAGGATCAGATTATCTGATCTCCAATTGAACACTACCATATTTACTATATGATATTAGACAAATAAACTCATTGTTTTCAGTACCTGTAAGATGAAATCTAAACTCTCCACCTTGTGACATTCATAAGTTTTTTTTTTTTTTTCATGAGGCTGAAATGAGAAAGTAAATACATTCATTTGGTAAGTATTCAGCCTTTAATGTGTATCAGGTACTATAGTAGGTTCTGGAATACCTTTAGAAAGAGGACAGATGAAGTCCCTACCCATGGCACTGACATTGTGGTTGGGGAGACAGATACTAGATGATGAAACAAAGTGAGTACTGCAGGTCGTGGTAGGCACTTTGTAGGAAGGCAGCATGATGCAGTGACTGTGAGCGACAGGGAAGGCAATACTTAAGACAGGGCTGCCAGGAAACGCCTCTTCAAGGAAGCAATACTGAGAACATGACACTTGAGGTCTATTTGAGAGAAGGCCTACCATATATTGAACTACGGGTGCACTTCATAAGTGGTAAGATGTCACGTCAATGAATAGTAGCACCCCCCCCCAGCCTCTGTGTGAGAGGAAATTACAAAACAATAAGTTTTTCCAGTTTCTGAAGCTATAACTTTATACTAATGTCTGTACTTTCTTGTGAGCATCTCTTTTTTAATCCGAATCTTCTATTGCCTCCTTCACTTCTGTGTCTGATTTGTGCTAGCCTAATCTAGGTACTTGTCATCTGTCCCCTGTCTGCAGTGCTGTCTTCCTTCTGCCCACTCTGTCTTCCCTGCCACTGTTTGGATCCTTCCTCCTGCTTCGACCTGCTGCTCATGCCATAGAGTCGCGCAATTGATTTCCATTTCTAAGACTGTACGCCTATGCTTCTAAAATCTTTCTTAGGCGTCCCTGTTTTTCTGCTAACCTTCCTATCCTTTATAATATAAGCAACTTCTGCTACCCACCTTCATGAAGAGGAATATTTCCAAATTGATCTAACTGGACCTGGCTGGCATAGTGCCCAGCATGTAGTAAGCTGTCAATAAATATTTATTGAATAAATGAGTGAATGAACTGATTTCCATAATCTTACCCAGTCTATCTTTGGGATTAAAGTGGTTTTTCCCCTATGATTTTACATATATTTGTTCCTCACAAGTAAAATGCTTATAGAAACCTTTACTTTCAGCTATATAGGATATTAAAATCTTATATCTTCACAGCATTTTAAAATTTTATTTTAAATCTACTCTCTCTATTTGCTGTTCATGTGAAACTTTGTTACTGATCCTGGAGACACCCAGAGGCATGGAAGTGTCTCAGAGAGTCTTTGTACATTGTCCAGCACAGTGCATAATAACGAGCACACAGCATTTAGTATGTAAAAGGATTTTTGCTAATGATAGTAACACTGAGATTTTTAGTTGTTTTCGTTTTGATTTCCAGCATCCTGAAGAATCAGGTGTGTTTGTTCAAATTAATTAGAAACTTTCTAAGGAATATCTTTGTGTTAAGGAAGCTGTGTTTTCAGAGTTAAGTAGCAACTACAGGCAGTGTTCCTTTTGAAGAAAATTTTCAAGTATGTCCAGAATTTGGTTTTAGCCCCTTGGTGTGATATTATTGATCACTAATGGCAGTGATAATTCAGTCACCACATTTAGAGATTTTTCAGCAACAAACTGAATATTCACTTTTTATAAGTACAGATGTATGTTTAGAATCATCACTGCCAACTTGTTTCAGGAGCTGGATCTTAAGTGTTAAGTATTCATTTAAAATAAATAAAAATCTTATTGTGTTATGCCAGAAATAACTTATAAATGACCATTCAGCTTCGAGCATTATCTCTTTGTAGTTCTAAAATATTTAAATAATACCAAAAATGGATAAAGAATCCCTTCATATTTTTTATTGTTTAAACTATATTTAAACTATATTCTTTAATTCAGGAAATCCTATATAATTACACCGTGATTTTTATTTATATAAGGATCTGACCCATGTGATCAGGAACAACTTCAAAACTTGAGTACTTATGATATTTGTTGCCCAGTGAGATATAAAGTAACAGAGCAGATTTTCAAACAAACATACTAATGGTTACGTATTCAGAGGCTCCTGGTCCCTTTTCAAAGGAGTCACCTAAGAAAGTTACACATTTGTTCCAGTAATGTTGCCATGGCTCAGTATTGTTGTGGAATACCTCTTTTTAAACAGCCGCTGAAATGCTGAGAAATAATAAAGAGTAAAATGACATATTATTTTAAATATCCTTTAAATTGTGACGGAGATGAATTTTATTTTGGTAAGCAGTCAGAAATCATCCCAGGACCAAAGGCAGTGAATAAAATTTGGAATGTTGTTTGCAGCCACAGTTGGGTATAAAACAAGTTGGGCTTTCTTGAGTAATGCATAAACTAACTCTTGAAATTGATGGCCAAAGAGGAATTCCAGAACCCTGGACTTTAGAATCAATGTATAAGCTCCCAAGGTAGCTACTATGAAGACAATACTTATCTAGATGGGGGGAAAATGTGTATGTTTACAAAATAAGATGAGTTTTATTACTTTATAGACATACCTTGTAGATGTAAAAAGTACTCCTATCTTGGAAGTCTTTATAAACAAACTTAAATGTAAGTAGAATTTCTGTCTCATCCCTTCTAAGCCTGTTGAGAAATCTAAATTTCTGATAATGACTTACTACTTTTAAAAAGTAATGTTTACCATTTAAAAAGTAATGCTTTGCAGTTTCACTTCACCTTTTTCTGATTAGCTTTGTTACCTCTACTATTCAGTTTTTATTTTAGTGTGTCCAGTTTTGTTTACCCTGAGACTCTCAAAATGTGTTTCCTCACTATAAAATTATCATCAAGCTATTGAACCAAGGTAGAAAATAACGCCTAAGCTGAAAGTTATTAATTGTTCCATAATTGTTTTAAGCTTTTTTTTTCCTTTTTTTTTGGTTTGCGTTCAGATGCCTTTCTTTTCCAAGTGGGACCCTATTATTTTAGCAAATAAGAAATATCAAATTATAAGAGAAGAGTGTCAAATTAAAAATTTTGTAAAAATAAATAATCTCAATTCTGGAGCTTCAGTTATATTTTTTCTTTTTACTAACAAAAGCTCTAAAGATAGAGTTCAACCAAACCTCTAGACCACATTTCTGTACTGTAGAGGCTCTAGGTGGACTCACTGGCCAAGAATGGGGGGTGGAGCTGATATGTCCTGCTGGGTTGGGGCCTTTCCAAATTTATTTCACCACATCCATCTTCATCCAGGTTACTCAGGCTCCTATCTCTTCATCGCTGAGTTGAAATAATAAAAGGTAAAATGGAACATGGAAGGCAGCGAAAAGTGTTATCCTTCTGCAAAGAGGCTAAGACAGCTAAATTGTGAAATAATTTAAACTGTTCAAATTTGACAAGTTTGATTGCAAAATTATGTGACCGGCGTAATCAGAGATCAAAATGGCCACTAGTTTACAGTTTTAAAAAGTCATAGAGTGCCATTCTTAACCACAGACTAATAGAATATTATTTTATTCTGCCTGGTAGTAACAACTGCACAAATGACTATTGTTTTGCAGTTTGGTGATTTAAATGCTGTGTCTCCTGGAAATCTGGATAAAGGTAAGATTTGAAAATAATGTCCATTTTAAGGACTTTCTTGACTGAGAAACTCTCTTAGAGGAAAATAGCGTCTGTCTCTATCACTCTAATTTTGTGAAAGTGGCATACAAATCCTAGCTAAATATGACAGTAGTGTCTTTTGGAATCCTTCATTATTTCTCCATGTTTCTCCATCCCTGTGCCTTCTTTATGTGACATATATCAAATGCAGAGACTTGAGTTTAAATGCAGTTATAAACTCTTTTATCTTTTAGCCTGAAGTTCATTATGAGTAACAAGAAATTATTTCTAACCATGGCCAGACTCTGAAAGAGAAGTGATAAAACTGGGCCACACATTTTTCTTCAAGGCCCACCAGGCAAGAAAAGATTCCTTAGCCCACCTACCTCACAGTGTCACAGTTTTCAGTGGAAAAAGAAGTCTGAAATGGCAATGAAATTTAATGTAAAAGCAAGATCGTTAGTGGTATAGATGAAGAAAGTTATTGACTTCTAGAGACGGGGACAAAATGCATAATGACTGAAGAGAACTATACAATTAGCCCTTCCAGGCCAGAGTCAGTGGGGAGAGAGGAAGGACTTGGGGAGTCTGCAAAGGGGTACAGTGCTATTCTCCAGGACATGCTGTACTCGAGTACTCAGCTTCTGTGTCTTGGTGGTAGAAAACATTAATATGCTGGGGAATGTTATGTACAAATCAACATCACTCCCATGTTAAACTCCTATCAGTCTCTATTTAACAGTGTGCATGCCTAATTCCCATTTTAATAACACGCATAGTGGCAAAGCAGGGAAATTAGAAAATTACAGCTGAAAAAAATTATTGCTACAAATATACATTCTATAGGATTAACCAAATAACCCTCAGAAAAATAAATCAATGGTGACACTAATTTGTAATGTTAGAGCAAGAAAGATGGCAGTTGAAACCCATGCAATACAGATGATGCACTGACATGAAAGCCTCATATCCCAAATTTGGGGACTTCATCTCTGGGTGCCCAGAGGTGCCATAGGAGTATGGCTGCTTGGCCAAAGACTGAATCCCAGCCAAGGCTGCTGTTTAAGGTGCAGAGCCAGAGTCCTTGGTAAACTCTGGTAGCACCTACTTTCAGTTTTTCTGTACCAAATTCTCCTAACCTCAAGTAGATTCCTAGGAAATATTTTTGAGTCTTTAGAGAAGCATTAAATGTCTACGGAATTACATTAGGTTTTCCATAGGAACTGGAGAAGGGGTTTGCTTTTATGGATTGCCTTCTAGGCTATCCAGAGGAACCCTATCACTCAGAGATGATGGACCTAAGTAAAACCAACCTGGAACATTTACGTGTTTTGTTTTGTTTTGTTCTGTTTTTACGAAGATACCCTGCCAGTACCAATGGAATATTTAAGGACTCTCCCCACTCTCTCTACTCGCCTACCTGCATGATGATTTTTTTCCTTTCAGTGCCTCCTCTTTTATTATTTTGACACCTTTTTCTCAGGTACAAAAAAGTCAGTGGAGAGAGAGCTGTGAAACAGTGAGATTTGTCCTCACCTTCTTGACATGGCTTTGCTGGTCCCAGTCACCCACAGACCTGATGTGTCTTGAGGCATAGTCATACTCAGGGCCTAAAGATTAAATGTGAAATCACATTCAGTTTTCACAAAATGAGAATTTTTCTAACTGATGAAAAAAGTAATATTGGCTCTGTATAAAAATTTCAAATAATACAGAGAATTAAAAACTATAGAAAGTGAAACTTCACAGTCACAACCCTTAAGAGACTACCACCATTAAGAGTTTTTGTGAAGATCCTCCAGACATTTTGGTTTATGTATAAATACATCTAAAAACAAAGTAAAAAGTATCATACATACATGTTTCAATTATACCCTCATGATGAAGCAGATGCCTACCAAAGGTAGGTATCCCTGTCCCTGTAGTCCCCCAGCCCTCCGAATATGCTTAGTCTGGCAAACTCTAATATTATCATCAACCTCATTTTCCAGAAGCTAACTGGATAAAGGCTAAGATATCTTTTTACCTCCATCTCAGGGCACTTTGTTTTATTGCTTTACATAATGCATTCCAAACATTATTTCTAGCATGTTAATCTCAACCTCTTTAATCACACATACGGTTTCACAGACTTGGTGACTGCACACCGCACAACCGTATGTCGGGGTCCTTTTATCCCCCATCACTTTTCTCTGGAACTTTTCTCTTTGCCCCAACTGATAATAAAAGAAGAAAAGTCAAGGAACCCATTTATATAAAGAGCTGCATTAGCAGAGATTTCTGCCGTGGGTGTCCTCAAATGGTAAAACTAGACACAACACTGCTTAGAAAGAGTCCAACTTAATCTGACTGTAGAGATACCTGTTCTACATTCATTATATGTGATATGCCATAGAGTAGGCATAAATACCAGCTATTAACACTATCAGTATTGCCAGAAATAGAAATTTAGTGCACATTTTAATCTGATACAACTGCCTCAGTCTTTGTAATTTTTTATAATAATAATTAAGGATTTTATTTAATATTGTGATCATCTACAACATTGATGTGTGCCAAAAAATCTATATAGCAGCTCCTGCTTATACATGCAATAGTTGCATTATAAATCAACATAGGTCTCACCTACATTAACACCAGCACAGATGATATTTATATTTAATATAGATTTTTGGAGGAAACTGAAAACTTTGTTAGCATTTTCATGTCAGTACATTCCCCAGAAGCCAGCATAGGCCAATTTATGATGACACAAATTATGCCACTATTTAATACAGATGCTTCAGGAAATTCCAAAGGTCTTCTTAAAAGAGCTATTAAAGTATTGATCACAGATTTCCAAAAATAAATTATCTGTTGCTACGTTTGAAAGGCTTATAGGTACATCAATACAGCATTGATATGAGTAAAATCTGATAAAAGGAAAACCTACAAGTTTTGTCCCCTGGGAAGAGCTAAGAAGTTGCTTTCTTAATGTACTGTATAAAGTGTTTCTGAAGCATGTGTTGATTGCTATTTTCCAACTTGTCTTCTGATAATGGTCTTGGTATTATTTGTTTGTGCAGATGAAGGCAGTGAAGTGGAAAGTGAAATGGATGAAGAACTGGATGACTCTTCAGAGCCTCAAGCCAAAAGAGAGAAAACAGAGCTGAGCCAGGCATTTCCAGTGGGCTGTATGCAGCCTGTTCTCGAGAGTGGCGTGCAACCAAGCCTCCTGAATCCAATTCACAGCGAGCACATCGTCACAAGTACTCAGACTATCAGGCAGTGCAGCGCTACAGGAAATACCTACACTGCAGTCTAAAGAATATTAAAGCGTATTTTTCCAGCTTACATTAACCCTGTTGATATTGGGCTTAAGTTGAAAATTTAATAAGCCTGAAGGTCGACTGTTGTCAAATTCTATCTGTGCTGAACATTACTTTTTTGGAGTTGTGAAATGGAATGGGTGTATGTATTTTGCCAGGTCTTTTTTTTTTTTAACATAAACAAATTATTTGCCTCTTAATAATAAGTTTTTTCCCCCTTAGTTTCAGGTGTCAAGAAGGATTTTTACAACACTTAATGTCAATGTTTTTGTTTTCTTATAATTAAAAAGTAATTTACATTTTTTGTAGCTTAAAATATTTTATTGTTGATTGTTAGTCTTGGTGTATGATTTCATGTGTAAGTTTTTTAATTAGATGCACTTCTGTGAAATATCAAAAGAAATGAATTTCTTTGATTTACACTGGAGGCATGCCCATTTGGCAGCAGATGCATCAAATTTGCTTTTGAAAGGTGCTTTTCATTGGACAGAACCATAAGACACTATTTTGATAACATTTTAGAGTATGGAGAGAGAATACAGAGCATTTTTATTATAGTGCTAGAGGGTTGGGAAGGTCATCTATTTTTCTCTGTAGAAAAATTGAGCTGTACATTTATTGGTTCAGAGTAAATGACAGAATTACAAGAGATTATGCTAATATGTACATAATTTGTGTACATAATTATTAAACCATGTTAACAATGCAAGCTTCCGTTAAAAGTTGAATTTTAACTATTATTTGCATACCAATTCCTCTGTTTAAAGACTACTGATTCTGTATTTGGGACCACTGCACAGATGCATTTTGCTGTTAAGTGGGGCTGTTGTAGTTAGATACTGAAGCTGAAAAAAAATGACTTGACTTTTTTTTTTTAAGTGTACATACTACTTATGCTGAGCTGGACGTACAGGAAACCATTCCATTTGGATGACTTTCTTTTATTCCAGGTCTTTTTCCTAATAGTAGTTCAATATGCTGCTATTATAAAAGAAAATTTATAGAATGCAAGGAATGTAGCAACCTGCATAACGTTATTTCCTTCAAAAATATTTCCTGGTTTCTAAAGTATGTGGATTTAAATTTTAAACAGAACCTGAAGGCAGTGTAACTGGCACACCTCACTGTTACTTATCCCCAATTCTGTAGGATTTGGATAGGTGGCTGGATGGACCATTGCCATTGAAGAATGTACATCAGGGATCATCGTACCTCGGCTATTACATGGTGCCTTAAAACAGAACTGAAGCTAAGGTTTAGTAAGGTTTATTTTGTTCATGTGAATAACTCTTCAATCCATTTGACAAAGTGTACCTGTCGTTTTCAGATTCCTGAAGTAAGGACAGGTTACATGTTCTTCAAAGGAAATTTAGGGAAAAGAAAGCAAAACAAAAAGACAAAAATCAGTTTCCCTCTTTGAGTGACCGTGAACCTATTTTTTATTCTTAGAGCTGAATATTACTTGATTACAAATCAGATTGCTTAAGGGTGTGGAATAGCAGGCTAGTTTTAATACCAACTTGTCACATAAAATCATATATGTTTTAGACCATTCTTATCTAGTTACGATTCTAGAAAGTTAACAAAATAAGCAGGTACTTATTGAAGTGCATCTTTTCAGTCTCCATGTTTGTCTGTGTGTCTAGGTGTCAGTATGTCCAAATGTACACACGCGTGCCCGTGGGGCGGGAGTCTGCTACAAAGTCAGAAGGTGAGACCCTAGGGAGTATACACCCATCCCCATTTAAATTTGCATGAAAAGCCAAGGTTCTTTTAAGCACTCAAATTATTAACAAAAACAAAAAAGGCACATCCATTCATTTAAATAGTTGTAAAAAAAACTAATCAGCATAAATAAATAAGTAAAGCCAAAAAAAAAAAAAAAAGGAAAGCACAAAATGATTTACAGACTATTAATAAGGCCTATATTAAACTCAAGCTGTTTCTCTTTCCAGTTTCACTGGGGTGGGGGGAGGGGGTGTTAGAAAGAAGAGGGTAAGCCAGTCTGTGAAGTTAGAAATACCAAATGGCTTATTGGGTAATATGCAGTTCATTTAAACTGTTGTTGCTCGATTGCCTCAGACTACTCAAATAAGATCAACAAAGTTTCTTAAGTAAAATTTACATGTTTTAGATGTAATTTTTTAAATTGATTCCAATTTTGTATTATACAACCCAGTCCTCTATTTGGAAGCCTTCATTAGCATCCTAGCATCACCTTCATCTAAATATCATTTAAATGACCATCCCCCTTTTTCCTTCCAAAAAGGCATTGCACTTGCACCATCAGACACTCACACAACACACATACACACACACAGACACGAGGCAAAAAAACATCAGAAGCTGCAAAAGATCATGTATCTACTTCATCGTAGGAACATTAGGGAAAGTTTACAGGTAAAATTACAATCAAAACTGAACACACATTCTTCATTTTTGCTCTCCTTTCTGAAGTTTTTCAGTTTCCTGTCTCTACCCGCCATCCCCAGGATGATACTATATCTGCATTGGACCAAATGTATTTACTGGTTTCATCTTGTTCATTGAATGACTTTAAATGTATTTATTATTGTTTCCTTTAATTTAATGTTGGATATATTTGTATCATTATTATGAGGAATCTGATAATAATGGGAATATTTAGATTGATGAAAGTTAGAGATTGGGGACTTTCCAGGATTCAACATTTCTTCCAATTGTTCATGGTTTGTTCTAAATTAGGACAGATTAGGAACTAATAAATATTATTATATTTGAACTTAACTCATTAAAAATCTTCTGATCTCCTTTATGAATACTTAGGAATATTAATTCTTATGACTAGTGTAAATAGTTCTGAACAATACACAAAAGAATGCCTATGGCTTATGCTACTTCCAGTTTTTGTAGTTCACATTAAGACAGGCACACACGCATACACTCACACACAAACATTTTCACCAATTCGGAGTTTGGATTGTGAAATATATTAGAAAATAAAAACATAATTTATATGCTTGAGCAGATTGGAGCAATCACATTTACTGCATTTTCATTTATTCCCATTTTTTTATTCATCAAAACTCTAGCTTTTCTAAATATTAGACACTAACACCCTTGTAGTAGATTTATTGACAAGTGACACAAATAGACATTTTAAGGACTTCTTGGTATTTCTTGGCATCATAATCAAACACTAGTCATGAAATATATCTACATAAACCAAGTGCTACACTTTCAGTGAGGAAGAATGTAAAGAAGATATGTTGACTATTTTTAAGTTTCAGAAAAGATATTTCCATATGATAGGATCGAGTACTAAGGGTATAGTTTGATTTCGACATATACTTTGAGAATCATACCCAAAAAGATTTGCATTCATGAAACCAGTGAACAATAGGGTGGAATGGATGAACTATTTCCTTGGAACACAGGGCCCAATTTTCGAATTTTTCTTTGGCTATCAAGTTGCTGGTCACTTATTCAGGATTTTCTTCCAAACTATGTTTGGACTGACTGTGTAAGTCTTACTGCCTTTTCAGAAATCTGCTTTCCTTTTTGTGCTTTTTCTTGTACTGTATAGCACGGTTTATGCACCTCTCTTTAGATGGTGTACTTTAAAAACAAAAGTAAAACTTAGCAAATGGTTTTTTTAACACTGCATACCTAAAATTAATAGTGTGCAACATTGACTGCCTTTGATTTGTAGTAGACGAGTAAAAATGAATACGTCCTTGTAGAATGCTGTGAAAGTCATTCAGGAATGAATACGGTTTCAGTGCCGTAATCATGAACCTTTTTACGTGAATGCACTGTCTAAAAGTGCTAAATGCATTTTCAAATTTTTAAAAATTCTTCAGATATATTTGAAATGTCTAAAATAATGCTGTGCTTGAAACATTAGTGTAAAAGAAAAAAAATGTGTGTCACTGTGATGTTGGTCCTCTCTGTGTGGACACAAGTAGAAAGTGAAAAACTTGGCAAGTCACCTTTTTGTACAATTTGAGGCAGTGGTTATATACAATAAATTGACCTTTGTTATAACCGCCCCCCCTTACATTCTTGGTGAGAAAATAACAATCATCCAAAAATTGAAATCAGAGCTCTTGTGATCTGTATGAATCACACCAGAACATGGGGGAGGAGGGTTGGCATGCAGTGCTTCTGAAAATTGGGCTTGTCGCTAGATCAGAGCAACCTCCATGTATATGGTTAGAACAAATCAAGTAATGGAATCCTAGTATTTCTGCAAGTTTGGTGATTTAAAAAAAAAAAACTGGAATAGAAGCATTAATTCAGTGCTTGGTTCTAGTATTAGAAAACCCCTTTGATGTAATGCCTTGTATTAACCCTTTGAGCATTGTAAGATATACAATGGGGGACAAAAGCCTTTCAGATCATTTATTTAGACTTAGACCGGTAAAGTATACTCTATATCCAAATGTCTAATTATGCTGTTTTTTTAAAGGGGGGGTAGGAAGAGAAAGTGTTTCCATGCTGAACACTTGCATTTTATATACAACTCTTAATTTTTCTTCAAGAGGGCTTGATATATTTATTCCCAAATATTCACTGCCATCTAAGTAAGTGTACTGTTTACAGAAAAAAAAAAATCAGCTTTTCTAGCATCACATCATAACTCTCTAGAAAAGGAGGACAAATACATGGGCCTGTAGAGACCTATGTCATAACTGATTTCTGCACATTGAAGGTACCTAGATTGCCTTTAAAAGGTATAAGGAAAGGGTTATGTTCCTTTTTTTTTCCCCAAAACAAAACAAAAGATCTCATTTATTTAGCTTTAGAAAGTACAAGAGTATGTGAAGCCTTAGGAAGGAACGAGTTCAAGAGACTCTGAACTCTTTGGGGGCAGTTAGGCTATTTGGAGTTAGATCGCTCATAAAATATTGTTTGGGAATTTCATACAGGGCATAATTTTATCTATGCTCTAAACCTTAATAACTTTGTCAAAAATTATATATAGATAGAATGGAGAGCAAAGCACTTGATTACAAGCTCATCTGTCAGGAGATGCTATGACTACTGCTT